TAACCATGTTTCATTAAATGTCCGAATGCCGATTCCGGACCTTCGTCGAAATTACCTTCAATCTTGTCAATAAAATGTTCCTTTTGGAAATATTAAATTCAAATATTTTAGACATTTAAACACTACCTTATCATTAAACGTCAGTTGACCTGACCTGTTATTACGCCGTTGGCGTAATGAACGGTGGTGAAAGGCGCATTTAGTCGTTCATATCTTCACCCACAAATTACGTCGCTGATTCGAATCGAGCATCAGCATTAACGCGCAGCCGTTGAAGTCGCGAACAAGTCAGAAGTTTCGACAAAAGCTTTCGATGTAGCACTTCCGTTGGAGCGTTCGCCTGGAGAGAGCCGTCGTCAAAACGCTTCAGTATTCCCGGGGACGTCGGTTTGCGCCGATGTTATTAAACGCCCAGGGAGACGGTCAGGAACGCTCAGTTCCACCAATCACCCGGTCGCTCTCGATTGGTGAATCAACCACCGTCTGAATCGACGCCAGTTGTGGAAGCCTGAAAACTCAATAGTGGCACCCAAAGTGCCTGTCGACTGCTGCAGCTCAGCAGCTGATGCACACTGCAGTCAACGTTGAGGTACCCGGGAATTCGGTTATCATGATCGTCGTTAGACTCGCCACCTATTGTTCATCAACGAGCGGAAGATGTAGGGCAAAAATCGCCCACGATGCGCGGGTATAACGCCTGTTTGGTATCAGTCCCATCTATGACGTTTTCGAAGTTACCCAGCCGCCGATAAACCGACCGGGTTCAGTTTGGTCAGTTTAATGATAAAGCGCCCAATGCAACAGAGTTATGCTCCGATAAACGCCAGACGCCCGTGTTTGTTCATGCTGATAACTATCCCGAAAGCCAGCCGCAAGAATGGTAAAGCGCATTGTCATGCACCGAGGAAATGAGGTGGTTACGCGACAGTCGCCTGGAGTAGTAATCCCAGTGAAACACGTCGGAAATCGGAAAGGCCTGGACCGCTGAAAAGAATTGCAGCCAGACGCCGCGGTAGTCGCAGCACAGGTAAAGCATCCTTCGTCAAATCATATTCTCGCCGCAGTCTACGAGGCGTTCTAAAGAGGTGCGGTTGAAAAATCAATCACGAATTTCTCGAGAACCGGTGAGCAGAACCGATCGTCAAGCCCAGCACCGTCTTCTGGCAGTGTTCGCTAAGCACAGAAAGGTTCGCCAGCAACCGTTGAAGTCTCGGAGCATACACAGCAGATCAACAGCGTTATCGTTATCGGGTTGTAATCGGCCCCGAGAACGATAACCCGGCTTCAGGGACCATCAGCTTCACGGAGTAGATTGGGTCGCCGGGGGCGGAAACCGCACAATTCCACCGCACGGTAAAATGACGTGGCATCAAGGGTCTCGTCTTCTGCCGACGCGAAAAAATAAGCTCCATCGCCACGCCTTCGCATGCCGGGCGCTTCACCTCTCCGTCACCTAAAGCTGTCGTAATAAAGCTTCTAACGACAAAGAGCCCCGCATTTCGCCGTTTCTTTGCCATCGAATACAAAGAAATTCAGACGTTTCCTTAAACTCTTCCTCGTCAGCCCGCTCTGCCAACATGCAGAGCCGAGAAAAGCGCCAGCGGGGATGCAACATCTGCCCCGTCATCAGGCGCGTGACGCATCCCAGCAGCAACAGTCCGATAACGTCAACATGCTTCGCATCACGGTCAACATCTGGATTCATCGGTGATGGTTTACGTTACTGAGGACGTTTACGGTATCGCCGATCGGCAAAATTCAACTATGAATTCAGGTCTTTCAGCGACGCAGGAGTTTTTATTCGCGGTATTGAGAAAGATCACGCCCAGTCAGCATGTCACCATCGGCGAACGAAGCCGCCGGCTCCGCCTAACTGAAACAGGGAGGCATCGTACCACGCGGGTTCAGCCTAACGTCAGCAGAGAAGGCGCGGAGAGCCTCATCATCATCATTCTTTCAACATTTCTCCCGCGCCAGTAACGCCCCGGTATCGCGTAGAGCAGTAACCGCCGGGTTATCGAGCCGTCAACGAGTAGCGCGACCGTGCATCGGTACGGGGACCGGATGCCGCGCTTAAAGGGCAATGAGGCATCTTTTATCTGACGTCATCATGCACGCCTTCCTGCCCTGAAGTAGCATTCCACCAGACCTGCATTTAGACGATGATGTTGCACGAGCTGGAACGCAGACGTGTCGGTAATAAACGCCGGGCCCGAGGGGAACTTCCGCGCCATCAAGAATAAAAGTTTTCCTGTGACAGCAGCGTCGAGTTACGCCGGCACAATGCTTCCATCTTCGGTAGCAGCCATGACCGATAATATTTTCAGCCACATTTTCGTATAGGTCATCTTTCCATTTTGTCCGCCATTGGGCGGCCTTTTTTCGGTTCAATCATGTGGGTTTCATTGTTTAATTCTCGAAGTTGTTGAGACTTTTGTCTTCAAACTTCATTACAGGCTCAGTTTTCAAACGTTATGGAGTCCTTCAATTGAGTCGCCAGGCCTCACTTTCGGCACGATTCGGCGAGCCAACTCAGCATTCGATTTCCGCATCAGTCTCCGGAAGTTTCAGAAGAAGGCAACCACATCTTCGTCGACGTGCCTGCCGTATCGCGACATATGAATAACCGCCTGTTCATTGCCCAAATCAAATACGCCGACGAGTTCAACAAAACCAGCCTTTCAGTTTAAGTTCCGCTGTTGTGCCACTAATCGTCGCCGCCGGTTGTTATCAACATGTGTGGTGAAAACACGAGTGCGATCACGTATATCGACCGTTCTTTCGTTTTCGAGCAGAGTCGAGCGAACGAACCAATGCGACAGAGTCCTCATTTCGTCCAGATATTGTTTGGAAACACTTTGCCATTAAGCGTCGTCTGCTCTTTTGGGATGCGTTCGATATTTCTTCAGTGACGTTTTAATAAATGCCCGCAGCCACAAGAAAGATAATGGTTACCGATTTAATACGCCGCGACTCATAGTAGTATAACACTTCAGCCGTGAACAATACTGGCAATTCTTCGAGAAAGCTTTCCGAGCTGGTTAATTCGTACCATATGATGGGTTATCTTGGTATAAATATTACGGCAAAATGTCACGCTTTATTAATAACGCGCATGACCGAAGAAACGTTTTGTTTGAAACCGTTGCCGGTAATACTGTAAGCACTCATCACCGTGATGAATTCCGGCTAATACATTCTTTTCAGAATCGCCGAAATCGTCAACTGGGGATATATCAAGATCTTTCATTCAGCGCTTCAGAATTATATAAAATAACAATATTCGGTAAAATGACATAGTGGTTGCCGGTCAATATCAACTCAGTCCGTTTACAGTCTTTCGAAGAAGGCAGATCTGCCGTAGCCGTTAAAGTCGTCGCTGGATGCCAACGCTTACTATCTTTACTGATTACGCGTTGATAATTTCTTTCAAAGTCCTTAATAAATTCGTACAATATGAACCGCAGAAGCGTACGCGCATTTATGCCATTACGTAGTGTAGATTGAAGTTGGCGATATCACGCTGGTCACATAAATCACCACGTATCGTCACCGACTGCAATTAAAGCCTGAAAGCAGATTGCCGATATCATGTCGAAATCAGTCAGCAATATATAACACGTTTTTCTTTTTCATCATCAGAATACCCAGTAAGCAGGAGCGTGAATTATGCGAGATAAAGCTGCCAGTCACGCTTGATAATTCACATAAACTTCATTATGTTACAGATTCACAAATTAAAGCCTGGTTAGGTGATCGCCGATATGTCACAACAAACACGCGTTATATAATCACGCTATTTTTCCAGGCATCACGTTGGTATCTATTTCCAAAGAGATAATGTTGGAAAAGATTACAACTCGAGAAGTATGTTAGTATCATCTTGTATCTTAATGTACAGTATTGTTCAAGATGATTTTGATTTTCACACTAAACTCCATCAACATTTGTTGATTTTGAGAGGAAAGCTGCAAATTTTTATCCTGTAAATGTACCTGAATTATTTCCTTGATGTCAAGAGATGATATGGTGAGAATATTTATTTGCTTCCATGTATTGATATTTCTCTGATTTTGGTGTGAAAAATGAGTTTAAGAATATGATGCTTTGTGGGATTTTTGTATATTATTTTCAGGTACTGTCACAAGTCTGAAGGTGGTGATGACAAAGTCATTCTTTCTGATAAGATGTAGTAGAATGTTTTGATTATCACAGCCTGATATCCTTTAAACCAGAATCCTTACACACAGTGCATCTAGTTAAGTGTGCATGATGATTAAAAAAATGATTAAAGACGTGATTGTCTCTTGCTGATGATTTGTTGTGACATATCAATGATCACCTAACCAGGCTAATTTGCAGTGTTTTGACGAATCAGTTATAACATAATGAAGTTTATGTGATTATCAAAGCGTGATATCCTCTTAACTGGAATCCTAACACACTGCATATGGATGCATAACCACTAACCTTACTTGTGTGTGCATGATGATTGAAAAAATGATTAAAGACGTGATTGTCTCTTGCTGATGATTTGTTGTGACATATCAATGATCACCTAACCAGGCTAATTTGCAGTGTTTTGACGAATCAGTTGTAACATAATGAAGTTTATGTGATTATCAAAACGTGATATCCTCTTAACTGGAATCCTACCACACTGCATATGGATACATAACCACTAACCTTACTTGCGTGTGCATGATGATTGAAAAAATGATTAAAGACGTGATTGTCTCTTGCTGATGATTTGTTATGACATATCAATGATCACCTAACCAGGCTAATTTGCAGTGTTTTGACGAATCGGTTGTAACATAGTGAAGTTTATGTGATTATCAAAACGTGATATCCTCTTAACTCGAATCCTACCACACTGCATATGGATGCATAAACACTAACCTTACTTGCGTGTGCAACATCTTCTGGACAGAAGTCCCATATTTATTTTAAAAAAGGTATTGTGTTATTAAGACTGAAAAGAAATTGTATCAAACCGCATGAATGGTAAGTAAAGATAAGTAAACGTTAGCATCCAACGTAACTATTGTAACAAGGTTTTGGCATAGATCTGCTATATTTCAAAGACAATATTGGTTTGAGTTAGTCTGTGTGTTATTGGTGTAGCAGGCCATGCACTATATGTCATTTTACTTATCAGATGTGATTTATTTTATATAGATTCTGAGCTGGATGAAAAAGATCACGAATATATCCCAGTTGATGATTCTGACGATTCTGAAGAATCTGAAGCCTTTGAAGATCCTGAATATGTGCCAGATTCATCTGGTGATGAGGGTGCTTCACAATTATTACCAGTAACAACGGACAAACCAAAACAGATTCTTGTGCAGTCATGCATAAAAATCAGTGGCAAACGTGAGGCCAAAATGCATTGTTGCCTGTTTTGCAGTAAATATTACTCTAAGATGCCCCGCCATATGGAGCAGATTCATGCCAATGAACCCAGAGTAGCGAGGGTGTTGTGTCTGGCTAAAAAATCAAGAGAAAGGAAAGAAGCTTTATCAGTTCTCCTCAGAGAAGGAGATTTTGCCCACAATTACGATGTGTTCCACAAAGAACAGGGTGTTGTACTACCAAAGTATAGGTCACGAGAAGGTGAAAACAAATCAATTAACCATTATCTGCCCTGTGAGTTTTGCAGGGCATTTGTTATTAAAACATCCCTGCGGAAACATCAAAAGACCTGCAGCCAGTCCAAAAAGGAGCACATTTTCGGGTCAACCCTTGAAAATTCTAGACAGCTGTTGCCCATGAAGAAGCAAAGTGATTTCCAAACAAATATCCTGGACAGAATGAGGGAGGACTCTGTCACTCACATTGTGAAGCAGGACCCCCTCATTCTGCTCTATGGACAAAGGCAATATGAGAAAGTTGGAGGTCAGCAACACAACTGGCAATATATTTCTCAAAAAATGAAAGAACTTGGCCGTTTTTTGATCTCTGTGTGTGAGGCCAACAATGATGTGAAATCACTTACTCAGTGTTTTTCACCACACATGTTTGATGCTGTAATAGCAGCAGTTAAAAATGTTGCTGGCTATGAAAGCAAGGGGCATACATTTGCCACGCCTTCGCTGGCCCTGAAGCTGGGATACAGCCTGCAGAAATGCTGCAGTATTTTAAGGAACTCAGCTATCAGAAATGAAGATGAAGATTTGAAGAAAAAGGCCACTGACTTCCTGGAGATTTACAAGGACGAATGGACAGAGCGAGTTTCTGTCCATGCTCATGGAACACTAAGTACGGCAAAGTACAACAGGCCACAAATGTTGCCATTAGTTGAAGATGTCGTTTGCCTTCACAAATATTTGGATAAGGCCCCTGAAATTTCCAAGGACTGGGATACCGAATCCAGATACTTGGAGTTCGGCAAAATCTGTCTCTGCCAGATCATTCTCTTCAACCGGGAAAAGAAGTGGGGAAGCACAACGGCTCAAATTGAAGGACTTCCATAACGGTTTGAAAGACGGGAACACCATAATGGAGACAGAGATAAAGAAAAGTCTCAACAACTTCGAAATTAAACTTTGTGAAACCCACAAGCGGATTGAGACCAGGGGGAAAAAAGGCAGAAAAGTGTCCTTAATATTAACGGACAAAATGGAAAAAAATCTGAAGGTAGATATGAACCATTTGAAAATGTAACATTTTTCAAAGCTAATTATCAGTCCTGTGAAAACACTGCCAAGAGATTAATTTTTAACCTACCTTTCCATAGGTCTTATGCATATTACCTCAAGCTCCGCTTAAAGAGATCAGACAGTCGTTGATTCGCCATTCTATAGAACGGCCACCTCGTGTATCGACGAGTGTACAGGCAACGGAAGTGACGTGATCTCCCCTCCCGCGCAAGCGCGGTCCATCCAAAATCACTTTTACTTCAAGCGTCTTGCTTGTCAGACGTTTTTGTTTCGCTAAGTTTTCAGACACTTACTAATAGATTTCAGATATTAAAGTTATTGCTTTTGGTGTGCATGACCCGGCAGTTTTGTTGCATCTGCAAGGTGCAGAAGTCTGCCAAGGACCCACACCCCTGGTGCCCAGACTGTGCAACTGTTGCCTGTTCCATTGACGAGCGCTGTCACTTTTGTACTCCGCTGTCCGTCGCAGATTTCAAGGCCTACCTCAGCGCTAAGAAGAAACGCTTGTCACAACGGAAGAGGAAAATGTCTTCCCCTGTTTCTTCTGTGGACTCCCGGTCTTCTCCCCCTCGTACGCCGGTCGGACGCTCTTCTCCTGTGATAGATCAGCCGTCCACCCCTGCGCCTCGTTTGCTGACGCCTGAAGCCAAGCGCTCGTCTGACGCCTTTGTTGACCTATCCCACCCGGACGCTTTGTCGCATCCGGAGGTTCAGAAGTTGCTTCGGACGCTCCTTTTGCCGGCAGCTGCCGGAGCCCAAGCTAGCACCGTTCCAGCGCCGTTGCCTAGCTTTGTCCCTGCGCCGACGCCTGTGGCACTTGATTCTCCAGTTGCTGACTTGTTGCTTCAACCAACGTCGATGCCTACGCCGACGCCCATGCGGACGCCGGCGCCTATGCCGACGCCTATGCCTATGCCGACGCCTATGCCTATGCCGACGCCTATGCCTATGCCAACGCCGACGCCCATGCTGACGCCGACGCCTGTACCGACGCCAGCGCCAGCGCCAACTCCGACGCCTTTGGCAGACTACCGTATCCCCAGGAAGGCTACAGTGTCTAGAGAGGAGAACCTACAACGTCAGTTAATGGAAGAGCGTTCCCGACGTCAGGACGCCGAGCGTTCCCATCGTTCTCGACGATCTCGTTCCAGGTCTCCTCGGCAGCATCATCGGTCTAGGAGTCCTCGTCTTAGTTCGGATACTTCTCTTCGCGTCGTCGGTCTGACTCAAGGTCTCGCTCTCCCGTACGTTCCAAGGATAGGGAGAGGCGCTCACGGTCACCGATGCGTGGTAGGCGATACCGTCGGTCCCGTTCAAGGTCACCTCCTGTTCGCCGCTCGCCGCGACGTCCACGTTCCCCGACAGTTACTTTGAGTGCTGCTTCTCAGTTGTCATCGGTGCGCCCACCGAAGCCTGCTGCTTCGGGTCAACGATTTACTGCTCCTACCGTGTCCTGGGAGGACACTGAGGAGCGCTATTTTTCTCCCGATTATAATGAGGAAATGTTGCAAGAGGATGATGATGATGGGGGCACCTACCTCCCTCTCTCTGCTGTGTTCGACTGGATTGCCGACAGACTGCCGGATTGTCCTTCTCCCTCTTCAGGTTCGGCCGACCCGAAGGCTATTCGGTCTTCTCCGGAGTTACTCCTCCCGCCTCACCCGATGGTGGCCGATGCTGTGGCTTCTTTGGACGCTGATTTTGCTACTTTGTCTCTCAATACCACGATAAAGGCTCCTAAGTCACGCAAAGGGGATTACAAGATTCATAGTTTGGATTTTGCCGATGGAGGCGCGGCTCATGACGAGTCCCTCAAGCGCTTATCGGCTTCCCCACAGGCATCCTACCGAGTGCAGGACTCCAAGATGTTGGCCATTGATGCAGAACTCAAGCGGATGTTGAAGCCGGTATCAGCGTTGGCCTCGGCAACTTCGGCTGCTGCTTGGGATCTGACGGAAGACAACACGTCAAGGTTAGAACATCTTACCACCCTGTTTCAATGGCAGGGCAAGGTGTTGCATGATTTGCTGGCGCACCTCCGGGCGGCTCTGGCCATGACAACGGTTGTTCGGCGGATGGGTTTCCTGGAGCCCTGTTCTTGGCAGGAAGAGTTTAAAAGGAAACTGTTAAGAGCCCCTTTTGCGTCTCGTTTCCTCTTTAATGACGGCATTCCGGAGGTGTATAAGGAACACGCAGAGCTTACCAATACGGAGGTTTCTTTGTCTACGTTCGAAGCTTTGAGTTCGGCCTTTCGTGGCAGATCATCTGCAAGGGGTAGAGGGAAGCGCCGTTACGTCCCGAGAAGAGACTCCGTCCGCGACGCCTCTGGCAGAGGACGTGGCCGTGGCAGATCCGAACCTGTTTTTCAGCGCCGTCAGCAGGATCGTCCCCGGGACCCCCCTTCGACGCCCGGCAGGGGTAGGGGGAGGCGCCCTTACTTCGGTCGCTGAAGTTGCGACCCAACACGACTGGGACCTCCCGCCCCCAGTCGTGCCGGTTCGTCCTACTCCAGTAGGCGGGAGACTGGGGATCTTCTGGCCCAATTGGACAATCCTGGAAGACCCGTTTATCACCAACATTCTCAGGACCGGTTACAAGCTGCCAATCGCCGTGTCGCCGCCTCTGACTTCAACGCCCCAGTCACGTGTGTATGCTCCAGACCAACAGTTACTGCTAGCAGACAGCATCCACACTCTGTTACGCAAACAAGCTATAGAGACAGTGCTAGACCCCCGACAGTCCCCCGGGGTTCTACTCACCAATCTTCCTGGTTCCCAAGAAGGACTCAGGGGAACTACGCATGATTCACAACATGGCAGTTTTCAACCACCTTTATCTTTCGGAACCGCCTCACTTCCGCATGGTGTCCCTGGAACAGCTACGAGCCAAGCTTGCGCCCAGGGTCTGGTTGGCCAGCCTCGACCTTCAGGATGCCTACCTGCATGTGCCCATTTACCACCGTCACAGAAAGTACCTGAGGTTCTTTTTCAACGGGTCCCACTACCAGTGGAAAGTGCTTCCATTTGGAATTTCCACGGCCCCGTGGCTTTTTACTCGGATTACCTCGCCGATCACCCGGTTCCTCCATCTCAGGGGCATCGACTTCGACCCTTATATAGACGACTGTCTCATGAACCACCTCGACCCTCAGTTGCTTCGCAAACAGATGCACTTTGCCATTCATCTCTTGCAGCAACTGGGATGGATTATCAACATAGACAAATCCCACCTGGAGCCGTCCCAGGAACTGACGTTTATAGGAGGCCTCTTCCTGACACATTGCGACCTTGTCAGGATTCCGCTAGATCGCTGGAGAAAGATTGTCAGTTTCGCCAACCGAGGTCTATCCCAGCCGCTCGTGCTCAGGGAGTGGCAGTCCCTCTTAGGTCTCCTCACCTCAGCCCAGGACTTGACGCTCAGAGGTCGCTTGATGCTTCGGCCGTTACAGCGCTTCCTGTTGCCTTACATCCAGGCGGACGACCTTCAGTTGAGGTTCCTTTTGCCCCTGCATCTCCACGCTTACCTCCGTTGGTGGACTGTCGAGTCGAACGTCTGCGCAGGAGTCTCCTTGACAGAGTTTGTTCACGATCACGAACTGTTCGTAGATGCGTCTCTTCAAGGTTGGGGTGCTCACCTCAACGACCAGACCACCTCGGGGCTGTGGTCAGGCACCGAGCTAGGATGGCACATCAACAACTTGGAGCTGCAAGCAGTCATTTTAGCGGTTCGACACTGGGTGCCTCTGTTGCGGAACACCAGGCTCCTGATAGCGTCGGACAATTCCACGGTGGTGTGGTTGATTCACAATCAGGGAACGACCAGGTCCAAACAGTTGTTGGAGCAGACGTTCCAGCTGGCCAGTCTCCTGGACGACAATGGCATCAGCGCCAGAGCCCGACACATCCCAGGGTGCAAGAACGTTTTGGCAGACGCTCTCTCAAGGCCGGGCAAACCGTCTCCAACAGAGTGGATGCTACATCCAGAAGCGTTCAAACTTCTTTGTCACAGTCACGGCCGCCCTCTGATCGACCTGTTTGCGACTCGCTTCAACACACAGCTGCCGTTGTACGTGTCTCCGATTCCAGATCCAGCGGCATGGGCGGTCGACGCCATGTCCTTGTCGTGGGAGGGTCTGGACGTGTACGCCTTTCCACCACCAGTTCTGTTGCCAGCGGTAATAGCAAAGGTCAAGGTCAAAGCTTGAGGTAATATGCATAAGACCTATGGTAAGGTAAGTATTTAAATATCTAAAATATTTAGATTTTAATAATTCTTCCAAAATGATCAAAGGAACCATTTTTGTAGTAACTAAAAGGTGAAAGACAATTTCAACAGAGAGAAAGGTCAAGGTCAGCATTCTAGACATTTGTAAACATAGTTATAGCAGGCATCAGCTTTTGAGGCATGATTTTCTCAACAGTATAAAATCTTTACAATATCTTAATCATGAAATGCCTGCCAAGTGTCTCAAATGTGAAAGTATTCTTTGAAGTTGTGAAAGATTGTTGTATCATTCAGTGCTTACTTAGCTGATACAGTGCGGATGCCCGTTGGGAGGAGAGCTATGATTTTTTTCATTATGAAATTTTCATAATAAGTGTATAGCTCTGAAGTTGGGGATCTCACAATGAAATTGGTTCTGAATCAAGATTAAGCACAGTATTTGTTAACATATATTCTTTGTGTATGACACTTGTATCAAATGTACAGCAATGCTGTTATTTATACCCCCATAAGACCTGAACATGTATTATTTGTAATTTCTGTTACCACACTCAATATGTCCACAAGCACAGGTATGATGAAGGTTATGTGCATGCATTATCAGAAAAAGTTTTGCAGAAAACAAAGTATTGATATGAGAAACGAATTTAAAGCGCGGAGTTCAATATATACATCTTTTAGTGTTTATGAACATGATTTTGTTTCTTACAGTTGCTGGTTGACATGCGCCAAAAACTAAACATCGAAAATGACCACCTTTTCGCTAAACCAAGGAGCATCTTTCCTATCAGAGGGTGTGATGCCCTGAGGGATATGGCCAAGAAGAGTGGCGCCAAACAGCCCTCTAGAATAACATCAACCAAACTGCGCATGCAACTTGCAACACTATCGCAAGTACTTGGTCTGACCCCGAGCAACCAAGATCTCCTGGCAAAGTTCATGGGTCATGATATCAGGGTGCATCGCAACATCTACCAACTTCATGAGAAGACACTGGAGCTTGCTAAAGTTACTAAAGTGCTCCATGCCTTAAACACCGGAAAGTTGTCTCTCCACGCAGGGAAAGACATTGAGTCGATGATGGCTGACCCTTCAGGTTAGTAGTTATATTCAGGTAATTATTGTCAGGTTTTGAGGCCATTTATGACATCAGCACATCTCTGGAATAGGTAACAAGTTACCCTCTGATTATATTTTCCAAAATATGTTGAAGGGACCAGATATGAGTGGAGATTAGATCTTAAACTGGTACCCGCTACTCCAGGCCATGGCTTCTGAATGAAATCTGTGGGAACATGTACACAAAATACAATGAAAGATAGATATTGCTTTTTGGGTCAGCTTTAGCAGGTTTATCTCTTCACCTGGAGGCACCATTCAAAAACATAATTTCATTTGTAAAGAAAGGCTGTTGATCTGCTGTGTCTCAAGTGTTTCTATTTCACTCTTTGAGGATAGGATGCTTTGGGCTTTTGTGTTATAATTTCAGGTAATGTCACATGTCCCAGGCAGGTGATAAAACATTGTCTTTCACCTAATTGCTTTTGTGAAAATGATTAAAGACGTGATTGTCTCTTACAGATGATTTGTTTGTGACTTATAAATGATCACCTAACCATGCTTTTGCGTTATGTCTTTACAAGACCTGAATTTGATGTGATTATCAAAGCCTAATATTGTTTTAACCGGAATCCTTACACACACTGCATGTGGTTACATAAACACTAACCTTACATCTATGCATGATGATTGCAAAAATGATTAAAAACGTGATTGTCTCTTGCTGATGATTTGTTGTGACACATGGATGATCACCATGATAACTTCAGCCAATGCTGCTAATTAATGGAAAGTCATTGTGTAATTCGAAAAACTGTTCATACCTCTACCATTACAGTAACCCTTGGTCATAGTGTGTGAGTTATTACAAAACCCACCCTGTTGCTTTTAGAGAACCATTGACCCAGGCTATGCCTGAGGCCCAGCTTAACAATATTTGATGAATGCTGTTGAGTGAACTGGAAATGAAAAAATGATGAATTTGAACTACTGCATGCTGACTGTATATTGTTTATGTATAATTTGTTTGTATGATGCTTGAATTAGCTGTATTGATTATTCAGAAACAGGGAAATATACTGGAGATGAGG